GATATGGTTCTGAGTTGTTCTTGTGCGACTTCATGAGAACGTACAATGTCTATTGCCTTATCCAGCGTTAGATCTGATCCGGCATCAAGCAGCTTCTCTCTAACTCGTGGGGAATGGATCCCAAACACGATGCGATCACGTATCATTTCTTCGCTATTAGCATAACTGCAATCCTTTACTAGCAGCCTCAAATCCGTGACGAACTGTTCAAAAGGCTCGTTTTGCCCTTGTAGTTTTTCATTAAACTTATATCGGGCGAAAATGATGTTGCTCTTTGGCATAACATATGCTTCGTAGTGATCATAGTACGTTTTTAATAACTTACGTTGGTCTTCGGTTAATGTCCATGTGTTGAAAATGTCCCTGCCTTTTTCTCCGACCCAGAGGAGGAGGTAGCTGCACTTCTCGTCTTCCCCCTTTTTCTTTAGAGGCCCTGAGAACATAAGTTCGACATGTTGTTTGAACTTCCGCCATGCGTCGGGCAAGTTTTTTGCATCCCAGTCCATGCGGGGCGAAGGTACACCTGAGGCGTCCATCTTTCGTCGATAAGCCTTTTATTCTGACACCATGTTGTGTTCTGCGTCATGTACAGTGTGTACATAAATCGACATGAGCTAATTTGTTGAGCTGCTTCTTTATTCGGCAGATACTCAGAATACAGTTACAACGTGAACCGTCACTACGTACGTTCAACTACGTCATGCGTGCTGTATCATGTGACTATGTAAACGAATCACAACGTTATATGTAAATGAGGAACGGCACTTTATAAACAATACATTCTGTCAGAATGTTACATACTGGACATGTTGAGCTTAAAAACATTTTAGTGATCATTAACAACAAAAAAATAATTTATGTCCTGCCCTCACTCTTAGCTTAGCAGGTAGATAACATCATTTCCAATAACCACACCGTAAGCCCTTTCTTTGGATTTACTGGCTGGTATGGATGGATGACTGAATGGTAAAACTGCAACAAAGAAATAATGTGCATAAGTGTTTGTGTCAACAGACAATTCCAAATAAACAGGCACGATTCTCCTAAATAATAAACTCAACATATTACCTGAATATGTACAGAAACGCATATCGACATAAACAACATGTTAACATTAGCCGCTAGCTAGCGGCATCGCTAACGACTAGTAACTTCTCTTCTCGGTGACCTTTCTTGCAATAAACCTCCAAACACAACATGAAACATAGTACTATATGTACATAAACGAAATATACCCTTCACATCAAATTATATGCTGTACTGGCCAAAAACGCAGCACAGAGAGAACAGATGTAGCTATGCAGTGTTTACTCGTTAAACAGGAGGACACCAACTGCTCTACTTCCGGTGCTTTCAAAATAAGACTATATCAAATATTATACATAAGAAAGCTTATAGTATATAACTTAGAAACAATACGCAAATTTGAGCAATGGCTTCCTAAGGAGCCAGAACAATTTATTTAAAAATTTCTTGACACAATTTAAGACCCCCCTTAAATTTTGCTTTTGAGGCTTTCAGGTGCTCTCATGGGGGGGGGGGGGGGGGGGGGGGGGGTCGAGCCCCCCCGAACCCCCCCCCGTATTTCGCACTCTGTCTGGCAGGCCAATCAAATTGTCAGGGCGGGCTTTATACGATGATAGACAGATGATCAACAGTTACGTAATCAACCACGTCACCAAAGCGCGCTTGGGTGACAACAACAATGGCTGCCGCTGGAGAGTTGATGTGTGTAGATTCTGCTATTAGGTCTGTTCTAGAAGATATCGACAGCAAATTAATTTTAAAAGAGGAACAGAGAAACGCGATCAATGATTCTTGTGCTCTATGGAGCAGTATCAGACTCATATTCTGACTAGAATTGAGTAGGACTACGTCAGGCTAGGATTGGCTGGCTCCACTTGGCAAAAAACAGAACATATTTGTGAATAAAGGTTTTGAATTTTAATACTGGACATTTTGAGCTTAAAAACATTTTAGTGACCATTAGTGACAAAAAAATATTTTATTTTAAAAAATTTTGGCACAATTAAAGACCCCCTTTAAATGTTGCCTTTCAAGCCCACCCCCCCACCCCCCTGTATTTTGCACTCTGGGCTCCATCCATCTTCCAATCAAATGTAACCACCTTCCCTGTCCATGCGGAAGAAAAGCAGGCCCACATGTTAATAGTGCCACCACCATGTTTGACAATGGGGATTGTGAGATGAGCTGTGTTGGCGCCATAGTTTTGCATTGTATCCATAAAGTTCGATTTTGGTTTCATCTAACCACCTTCTTCCCCATGATTGCCCATGTCTAACAGGTGGCAAACTTTAAAAGATACTTTTTATGGATATCTTTCAGAAATGTCTTTCTTCCTTAAAGGCCAGATTTGTATGGTATACGACTGGTCGTTGTCCCATGGACAGAGTCTCCCACCTCAGCTGTAGGTCTCTGCCGTTCATCCAGAGGGAGAATGGGCCTCTTGGCTGCATCTCTGATCAGTCTTCGTCTTGTTTGAGCAGAAAATGTAGAGGGCCAGCAGGGTCTTTGTAGATTTGCAGCGGTCTGATCCTCCTTCCATTGTCCTATTGCTTGCACAGACCTCCTTGGGATGTTTAAAGCTTGGTGAATCTTTTTTGTATCGAGATCTGGGTTTAAACTTCTCCACAAATGTGTCTCAGATCGGCCTGGGTGAGTTCCTTGTTCTTCAAGATGCTCGCTGCACTTAAAACAGGGGCCGATTTATTTTGCCCACCACACTCTTCAGTTCTGTTATTTTTTTAAAACTAGGCTGATTCTCACCCCCAATCCAACTTATAGATATCTCTTGATTCCTAACTCCGGTACCAGGCAGGACTCTGTTGTCCAACTTCACACTTCCTGAAGATATAATTTTTCTATTTCTGGAATAAGTGGTTTCTATTCTGAGCTTTTTCCTCCAAAGTCTTCATCTCACCGATTGCACAGACGGATTCCTCACATCAGCACTAAGGAAGCTCTGCACGTTTAGCAGGGACAGGATTCAGTGCCTCCCTCCTCAAGAGTAGGCACCTTTTCATCTGTGACTCCATGAAGAAAAAAAAAGTTACATGTTGAAAATAAAAAAGGTACGATCTGCCATAGTTATAAAAAACATTTGTTTTGCTCTTGTAATTTATTTTTTCCCCAGTGATATTGAAAATGCTATTAAGCATTCCATATTTACTTAGTATTGAAAATTTGATTTTGGTATCTCAGTGAGATGCTCTCCCCTACAACACATGAGGTTTAAACCTTCCAGGGTGAAAACTTCTGAAAATTTTGCTTTTTTGTTTTTAAGATCTAATGTTGAATTTGTCAAACACTTTGGTCTGATGGCTGTTATATGTTTTTAGCCTCCAAATGAAAACAGCAGCACTTTAAAGGAAAAGTCCGCTCATATTTAGAGTTCAAACTTCTGAAAGTACTTTAAATATGAAGTTCTTACATATTGTTTAATAACTTTGTGTTTTTAATTAAGAGTAATTTTCATTTGAATGTGCTTTACTGGAGGCATCCATGTTTGTCAAAGAACACTACTGCCACCTACTGCTGCCCGTGTCCTCACTAAGACTAAGAAAGTAGAGCACATCACCCCGGTTCTAAAGTCCTTCCACTGGCTCCCTGTATCTCAGAGAATAGACTTTAAAATACTTCTGTTAGTCTATAAATCTCTGAATGGCTTAGCACCTACATACATCACAGACTTGCTATCAGTGTATCAACCCTCCAGACCACTCAGGTCTTCTGGCTCCAGCCTGCTCTGCATACCTAGAACCAGAACTAAACATGGAAAAGCAGCATTTAGTTCCTATGCTCCACTTATCTGGAACAAACTTCCAGAAAACTGTAAAAGTGCGGAAAGCCTGAGTTCCTTTAAATCAAGACTAAAAACACATTTGTTTAGGATTGCCTTTGGCTGTTCTAGTTAAACAGTTCAACTAAAACATCATTAGTTCAACTTTTTTATTTTCTTTAGTCCAACTGTTTTTAATATTCTTTTTTGTTTCTGCATTTTTTATTTTATTTTTCCTACTTGCTTTGATTCTGTTTTATTTTCCTGTATTTTAATCATGTAAAGCACTTTGCATTGTCTTTGTATTGAATTGTGCTATACAAATAAATTAGCCTTGCCTACTGGTTTGTGACGTCACTGTGAGGTATTGGCTGTTGATCGGCTGACGACCAACCCGTCCGTGGAGGATCAGGAATCAGAAAGGTGGAATAACACTTTTTTTTTCACTTTTCCCCGATGTATTCCAGCATCCAGCTGCCATGCACGTGGGCATTGTCAGTTTCACTATAGCTCTGGTGAATTTCAATGGTGAAGTCCTCTGGAAATCTTCAATAATTGTTGTTGATTGCAGATGAAGTGAAGCGGCCAGGATGAGGATCAGAACCTCCAAATCCGAGCTCATGGTTCTGCACCAGAGAAAGGTGGACTCCCCTCTTCAGGTCGGTGCAGAGTCCTTGTCTCAAGTGGAGGATTTCAAGTTTCTCAGGTTCTTGTTCATGAGTGAGGGACGAATTGAGCGTGAGATCGATAGACAGATCGAGTCGGGGTCAGCTGTGATGTGGTCGCTGTATCGGACTGTCGTGGTTAAGAGGGAGCTGAGTCGATCAATCTACGTTCCCACCCTCACCTATGGTCATGACTTCTGGGTAATGACCGAAACGACAAGATTGCAAACACAAGTATCCGAAATGCAGAATGGCGCTAGGCTTACCGCACCGTGACGTCACTGGCGGAAGATGGCAGGAGGGAGGGGTTACTATATTTGGGCAAAAATGGCCGCTCCCAGACTCAGTGATCGCAATAAAAATTATTTTTATCTTTCTATTAACGTTATTAATTAAATCACTGTGAACGTATTAGTTTTATATATAAATAATGATCCATAGATTATTCCTTGCTGACCGGACTTTTCCTTTAAAAGGCACCAATACATCCAAACCAACACAACCTTAAAAACCCAGAAAACAATCCCAGCTCATCCTAATGTTCTAAACTACTTTATTGATAAAGGAAAATAATACAAACATCTTTCACATAGTTCAACTCCTCCACAAAAGCTGCATTGAAATGCTGATGTTTGCTTCCTGCTCTGAAGCAGAGGAAACATCGATTAAAGGAGCAGTCCACCTTTTCTGAGTAACATTGGGATCTTTAAAACCTTTCACTGTAAAGACGCTGCAGAGGAGACCCAGGCTCTGCTTTGGTTCGAGTGTCGTCAGGCGTTAGGTATTTCAGAGAGACGTCCCTGCATGCAGAAACAGGGGGGGAGGGGCAACCACTGCCCTTGGGGCTCCGCAGCAGAAGAAACAGTCTGATCCCTCAACACTCATTCATTAACAGACAGGTTTCAATAATACTTCAATATCACTGCAAAACAAACAAAGCATAAAAATCAGCATCTGAAGACAGAAGGTTCCAGCAGAAGTCTTCGGGTTGGAGAGCAGAAAAAAAGGGGCGTGGCCTCAGACTGATCTGTAAACTGGTGAAAGTGTTCATCGAGATGACGCCACATATGGAGCTGGAGTAGAACAGAGATGTTCGGGTTGTGGAGAAGTACTTAGAATATCTAAGAGCTGCACAGTATTTTACAGTCTGGGTGGCGTCAGGGGAAGGCACTGTGGCGTCTGATTGGTCGAGATCGGCTCTCTCTCTCTCTCGGCTCAGGGCGGAGCAAATCTGTCAGTTATCCTCCCAGCATCATCGGCTCCTCACTCTGCTTTGTCTTTCCTCTTGGCGGTGAACGGCACTTTGTTGGCGACCGTTGAGCCCACGCTGGAGACTCCGCCGGCCACGGCTGAGACTCCGCCCTTCACTAGCCCCACCCCCATCGACGGGACTGTGGTCACAGCCGATTTGGTGATCTCCAAGCTCTTCCCGCCCACCCAGGCCACTCCTCCCACCGCGGCGCCGACGACGCCCTTGGTGACGTTAAAGAGGCCGCCGGTGACCCGCCACACCATGCCGGGCGGGGCTGTGGCGTGGTCTTTACCAGGGTCTGGAAAACAGATCAAACACAGATGTCTGATTTAGCCTGTTGTAGGAATATGTGGGAACCACTGTGGCAAATTTAATTTAGATTTTCCATTGCTCCAAGCACAATCATGTAGCAGTTTAACTCTAGAGTTTCCATCTTATGCAATGTGATGGGCCTATTTTTTTTATTATAATTTAAAGTAATCTACTGATGGTATGAAACAGGCAGTGTGTTGTTCAATGCTGTAGCACAAATATTGTTTACAGTGCGACCGGTCTAACTAGGGAGTAGTAATATGGCGGCCAGGGGCTTTACTTCAACCCTGTGCTACTAAGGTGCAATCAGCAATCCAGTGAATTAATAGAGAGCAGTGGTCTGTGTGCTAGCTGCAGCTCTACTCTTTTCTATGCGGCAGCAAACCCACTGTAAGCATATAATAATAATAAAAAAAAAAAAAAAAAAAAACATGTCATGCAAACATTCCAGAACATTCTGATCAGATCTGTCCAGCTTGAGAGGGGTGGTTTATGCCGATTCCCAATCAGAGCTGCATGCATATAAACAATCAAAATAAACATGCTGGTCAGAGTGTTCTGACTGGCATGTTAACATTTCCAGTCTGGTCGGCCATTTTACTCTGATTACCCATGTCCATATAAACGGTACAATCAAAATATTTATATTTTCTGCAATTTTAAAATTATGTTCTGTTAAAATGTGAGAATTACCCAGCCCTAGGAATCAACATTTTTCACCACCTTCCTCACATCACCTGGTTCTGATTTCAAGGTCAGATCCATCCAGATTAATGGCAGGAGTGGAGGCCTAGTGGTTGCTCTCAGAGCGAGACCCTGAACCCCACTCGGCTCCCCGGGAGCCGCAAATGGCAGCCCACTGCGCCCAAAGGGAATGGGTTAAATGCAGAGAGTGAATTTCTTTGTGCTGTACTTGTGACAGTGTAATTAGTGCAATAAAACGCAGAGCGACAGTCATAAAGGTGACTCCAGTGGATTGACTGAAGCTGATCTGCGTCTGTCTCTGAAGCAAAGACATGATAGAAAGGGAACCAAACATCCAAACATGGTCTGGTGGGATGAAAGTGATCCAACTCATTCCCAGTTTGTCAGATCTAACTCTAAATCATATGAACTCTGAGCTCTTAATGGCTGCAGAAGGGGAGATGCAATCTTAACTGTAAAGATCTTTATTCATTTTAATAAACAAAAAAGACTCACAGCTAAAAGTTTGTCTAGATTTTTTTGTTTCATCTTATTTTAGAAATAAGCAGACATTGGTTATAAGGTAGAGTTTTTATTTTCCTCTAATCTTTATTTAACGTTAAATAGATGTGAAAATATAATTTGCTGATTGGTTACATTAGAGGGCTTTAACTGACTGACTGAGACTGCTTCTCTGATCCTCGGGAGGCCGCAGCGCCATGGTGACCCAGAGACGCTGGGGGGGGCCTGACCCTGTGCAAAGTGTCTCAGAGCTGCGCCACAAATACACTGGAGCTGTAACCGCTGGAGCACACAAACACCGATCCTCCTGATAGAACAAGCCTTTCTTCAACAGCACCAGCAATATGTGAGCCCAGATTGCACCATGTTCCCCACTGAGGTCCCAGCATTTAGACACGTCCCTCAGCTCAGCGCTTACCCTCTGGTGACTGGCTGTCGGCCGGTTCGGCTTCATCTGACGCCAGGCTGGTGCCGGGCTGGGGCTCCACGTTCACGCTGTTCACATCCTGGAACCAAAACAGGAAAAATCCTGAGGTGGCATCAGGAAATAGACCAGACCACGTGAAAAATTCCAAATAACATTCCACCGTTTAGTTTAAATTCAGACAATTTATAATCCATCTCCTGGATTAAATTCAGTCTAAAATGGAATGTTTGTTTCTGTAAAGGGGGATTTAAAGTTAACCATGCAACAAATTATATGTCAGATTAAATAATACTACTATTACTTATACGATAGTATCAAGGTGCCACTTTATTGCATTCCTTATACTATATCCGTTGGTTGAGCTGTTCTTTTTCCATCTCTTTGCAGATGATGAAGCAGACTGAAGATGTTTTATCATTATCTCCCTTTTATCTCCTCTTTCTTTCATCTTTTCTCCTTTTTTTCTGTTTCTCCTTTCCTATTCTATTTACATTACAGTGTCCATTTAATCTGTAATAATCCCTGCATAATTATAATAAAGCTTATATGCATAAATCAAGCGGAACACAATGGCGATAGCCATACTGCTCCACTGGGGAAAGTAAAATCTGTTGGGCTCTTTTTGGCATCAAGACAATTATAATAATGATAAATTATTATAATTATGATAAATTAGTTATTTTATTAAATTAGTTATTTTTCTGCAACATGATGGTCCCGGTTCTTTAAATAAGAGATGCACCAATCCAATCTGATATCTGGGCTGAACATATCGGCCACCATGTGAGTGAAGGCTTTAGACTTCACATAAACAGTTAAAAGTGACAACACAGATATAAATGTAATTTATTTGTTAATAAATATAAAATGTAAATTAGCAGCAAAAAAATAAATAACAGTTCCATGTAAAGTGCACCGAATTGCATCTCTGATATCAGATTGCTGATATTCGGTCAATGTATCTAAAAAATGCATCTGTTTTTAATAAAGGTACCGATTTATAATCCAAACTTCAAAGAAGATATTTTATCTATTAGTCCTAAAGTCCATAGCTACAAATTAATCAAAATAATTAATTTCACAATAAGAAAAAGTATATACATATTTAGTAAAAGTGTAGATTGGTGCAGAAAAAGGTCAATTTTATATTATTTTAATAATTGTTTTATAAATTTTGATGGGTCCAAAATATATTAGGCCAAAAACATCAACATAAAGGATCCTGTACTAACTGGACTAATAGATTGAAATCATGTAGGATGAGCTCAAGCGTTGCCTCATCCTGCTAGCTCTGTGCTAGCTGACGCCATTTCTCACTGCTTCATTTTTCAGCTTCAAGCAAAATAAATAAATAAAATTAGTGTAAACATCAGTTAAACTTTTGAGGCTTGGTGTGAAGCAATGTGAGGTCACGCTTCCCACATTTGCTAATGCTAACCATTAGCATTAGCTGACCTTGCAAGCTGCGCCGAGTGAGAATTGGCAAGCAGGAGGGCGCCACCTACTGGCTTGGAGGAAGTAAAACTCATAGATAACTGTATTCACTTTTATTGTAGTTTAACTAACCCAAAACAATGCATCAAATAGAAACAAGCAGTTAGGTCAGTGTTTTAGTTTTGATGCCTTAGAAGAAATAACAGTAGGGATCAGATCAATGGATAAAGTGCTGGTGAAGATTCTCAGTCATCCGTACGGAAGAGGATTAGGGCCAGTGAAAAAAAAAAAAAGTTAACTGATTTTTAAATTTTATTTCAGAGTAGTATGGGTAACAAGTCAGCTATGGCTTGATGCTAACATGTTTGTTATCTGTCAGAATTCTGAAAAAAAAAAAGCCAGAATTCTGAGGAAAAAAAAGCCAGAATTCTGAGGGGGAAAAAAAAAAGTCTGAATTCTGAGGGGAAAAAAAGTCAGAATTCTGAAATAAAAGTCAGAATTCTGAGAAACAATTCTGACTTTTTTCCCATACTAAATTGAAATAAAATTTTAAAATCTGTAAAAAAAAAATTCCAGTGGCCCTAATCCTCTTCCGTACATCCAGCTCATAGTCATTCCAAATAAAGTTCAACAATCCACTGGACTTTGTTTCCAACTTTGAAGACGTTTCGCTTCCCATCCAGGAAGCTTTTTCAATTCAAAATGTCACAAAACAGCGTTGAGTTCAGAGGCTTTAAAGAGTGGACCAAAACCACAGCCTTGTTTTGGCTTAGAAAACATGCAGATTGAATTAGCATGTCTCTTTCAGAGACATAGACAGGTATCAGGTATTGCAGGTTACCAAAGAACCCAACGACTGCCCATTCCTAAGGGGCGGACCCGTTCGTCTGGCTCAATCTGCATGTTTTCTAAGCCAAAACAAGGCTTTAAAGTCTCAAACTCAACTCTATTTCTGACATTTTGAATTTAAAAAGCTTCCTGGATGGGAAGCGAAACATCTTAAAACTTGGAAACAAAATCAAGCAGATTTTTTTTACCTTTTTTGGGATCAGAGATAAAGGTTCAGCTTTTTCGGATGGACAATAAATCCATTTGAAAATGTCCTTGCTCAGGAGATCTATAAGCTAATAATAATAATAACTTTATTTATCTCACATTGGAGAATTTACCTCTACATTTAACCCATCCCCTTTGGGGAGCAGTGGGTTAAGGGTCTTGCTCAGGGACCCAGAGTGCAGGCTGTGGGGATTGAACCAGGTACCCCCTCATCCCCTCGGGGAGCAGTGGGCTGCCATTGTGCGGCGCCCGGGGAAAAAGTTAAAAAGCCACAGTGGGGATGTTGATATGTTTGGATAATCTGGTGTACTTGAACACATCACAGAAGAGCAGCTGCTTTGGGGAGACCTCTTCTGGCTGAGAGGGACCCATCAGGATGGTACCAATGGGCCGTCCTGATTGGGTGCTGCAGGCGGCTGGATTTTTACTTATTTTTCCACCATAACCAGAGATATTAACATTCTTCCCAGCGTTGTTTCAGACGAGTAATTTGATTCTCAGACCTGTGGACCTTGTTGCTGTTTAGATGAAGTTCTGATGCAGTCCACCTTTTTCTCCATTGTAGCTACATGAGACACCTAGTGACACCTGATAGAGTTTTAGCAATGGCTGGGAGTGTCCTGGTGTTACCTTTAAAAGCTTCCCTACAGAAGGCTGCATGGAGCTCATTCAGGAGGAGTTGGGATAGAAAACAGGTCTGCATGTTTGAGGGACGGCCTCAAACATTAGGGTTTCTCTTCACTACATGGATCAGGACAGAACCTCGCGTTCCTTCTGGTTCTTCCACCGGGCTGCAGCTCTCCACACCTATAATGCCTGCAGCTCTTTGCAGATCCCATCGTTCTCCGTCTGGTCGCAGCATTTCTGACTCCCTACCTTCTCCCCGAACTTTTCCTCAGAGTTTGTCCTGAATGCAAACCAGACGTAGAGCTCTGCTGTTATGAAACTCTGGATCTTGGCATAAAGTCTGAGGAGGATTGGGAAAGACGGAGGCCTTCCTGGTGCCCAATCTTCTATCTGCGCTGATCGACATGGAGGAAAACTCAGAATCTGTTTGCTTGCAGCTGAATTTCACACGAGGACACGACTGCAGCTCAGAGTCACGCTTAAACCAGTGGCGGCCGGCCCATAGGGGGCGCTGGGGCACCGCCCTCCCTGATAAGAAGAGAGAAACGTAAAATATATTTTTAGAAATTAACTCATAAATGTCTGTTTTACTCTCTAGACTGTGTAACTATAAGCAAAACAAATTATATAAACTACATTTCCCTATCTACTGTCATTAATTTGTGGATTTCCACAGACAGACTCCTACCGTCTCTGTTCTGGGGGCTGTGATCAGACTGACCCACATTTGCAGAGAATCTGTCAATCATGTACTATTGCTAGGTGAATTTAATGGCCAATCAGCGTCTCGGAACTTTATGGTATTGGGGCGCTGAAAATACTGCGCTTTTACAGGCTTCTCTTCTGAACCCAAGCGCAGGTGCAGACAATTAGAGGGAAGATGGCGAATGTAACGAGCGAGATGCAGCTTCCACCAAATTCGGTGAGATCCTTATTTATCTACCCGTTTGCCAGAAGAACATCCCTGTTGTATGATATGAACATTTCATTTCATGGTTATTGTGACTGTGACGAATCCACCTCGTCGCTTAAAACAACCTCTCTAACTTTGCGCGCCACACACACATTCCTGTTATACTGTGTTTGTGAGGACCAATACACTCGCGCTGAGACCAGTAGCTCCATGAACTTAAAACACACAAGCTGTTCCTGGTTACCTGCTGGCGTATTGAGGGTGCACACTTAATATTTCAGTGGGGTTAGCCGTGTGTGTGTGTGTGTGTGTGTGTGTGTGTGTGGGGGGGGGGGGGGGGGTGTGGGTGTGTACGTGTTTATGCGGGGACTTGTCATCTTCAGTCTGGCTGCGTCTTTGCTGGGTTCAAACCCAGTTTGGTGTAATTGAATAAGTCAATGAATCTGTGTAAAAGAATTAAGTTGTAAAAATTATTTGTTTTTGTACATCAATTGTTTGTGGAGGTAATATATGGACAAAACTGATTAATGAGAAGAAATCAGAAATAAGAGAGCCTGAGGTGAGGGGCTTAAACTATTTAATGAGGGCTGTGGGAAGAAAAGCGGCAATTTTTGTTTTCTGTTTCTTTGTTACATTGCTGGTAACTGGAGAGAGGCTGAGGCCCAGAGTATCTTGTATATGTTTAGTTTCTTTTGCACCCTGTTTTGAGTTTTTGAGCTCAATAAATCACCAACACCGGTAACCCGACTGAGACTGGATTCTTGGAGGCCAAAGAACCCCGTCACAGTGACCCAAATCATCACTGTTACTGTTATTATATAGTAAATTAAATCATTACTGTTAAATTGTATGTATTGTCCAATTGTTTATTTGAATTCTTATTCCGGGTTAGTTGGAGACATACACTAGGCTATATCAGCCCCACCAAAAATATTTTTCACCAGCCGCCACTGGCTTAAACGTGTAATTATCATATTTTTAGCTCCCTCTGAATCTGAAACTTTGGCTGTTTTATCAGATAGTTTTGAACTGGTGTGGTGTTTGGTTGGAAGTAAAGGCCTCAAAGCTCCATCTTGTTGAATCCATGAAAACCATGTTCATGTTTCCACCTTGAGACATTTAAGAAAAGACAAGGCCTCATTCTTCTGCAGCCAAGAGCTGAAAACATGAAGCCTGACAGCCTTTCAGTGAAATATGACGCACATTTCATCTTTTTTTTTCTTAATTTATTTAATCTGAAAGGAGATATTCATCTCGGTCCTCTTCCCTTGTGACTCACAGCTACAGTTCTTGCTCTTTTTTCTTTTTTTTAATAAACGCAACTGTAGTTGCAGGAGGGGCTCATATGTTTTAATGTTAGAAAATAAACATTTCCTCCTGAATAATAAACCCCCCTGTAATGTCTCCCATCTTCACTGAGGGAAGCAGTTGAACTTGGAGCATGCTCTGACACATCTGTGCCTTAATGAGATACTGGTGCGTCCTTACCTTCACCATTGTTCCCAGTGCGTCTCCCTGAGCTGCTGCAGGTCCTGATGTCAGCCTGTGGCTCTGCAGCTGCAGCCTTCAGTCCTCCTCTTCAAACCAACTCACTAACTTTTCTGCACAACTGCTCCTCTCTGCTCCTCTGTTGCTTCTGCCGACGTGGCGCCTTCACCACGCACAAGCGCACACGTACACGCATTAATCCCCCAGCTGTCAAAGGCGATACAACAACAACCCAGACTTCCGGTTGAGCCCTTCAAAGTAAAAGAGTCAATCAGGAAAAAACAAGATTCAAACTCAGAACCTTTTAGCTAAAAGGCAGAGATGGAAGAGTGGCCAAACAACGCTGCTGTTCTGAAGTAAGAACAGCATTAATTCAACATTTAATAGAAAGTAAAAGATTTACTGAATTAAGAGTCAAAAGCTACTTAGTATAAAAGCTACTGAAGAAACTGTTGGCCCATAAGATCCGATTTTATGTTCATAATAATTTAATCCACAGAGTTATGTGCCAATTGTGGTATTTTGAAGTATAAAATAAAATGACACAAATAGACAACATGGTCATAAAATGACAAATTCTTGTAAATGAAACATTTTGATTTTCAGCTTTCAAAATCAGAATCAAGTTTATTGCCAAGTAGGTTTGCACTTACAAGGAATTTGACTTGGTGTTGTTGGTCCAGACAAAAAACTAAATAAGATAGAACATATATATATATATATATATATATATATATATATATATATATATATATATATATATATATATATATATATATATATATATATATATATATATATATATATATATACACAGAAGCTATCTACACACAGTAGACTGTGCGTTAATGTAACGCAGAAATCCTGATTGGGGGAGAGAAACATTGTCCAGTGTGACGGGCGGCTCTTGGCCTTGTTGATAAGGCTGGTAGCAGATGGGAAAAAACTGTTTTAGTGACAGGAGGTTCTGGTCCTGATGGACCGCAGCCTCCTGCCAGAGGGTAGTGACTGAAATAATCTGTGACTGGGGTGCGAGGGATCAGCCACAATCTTCCCTGCACGCCTCAGAGTCCTGGAGGCGTGCAGCTCCTGGAGAGATGGGAGGTTGCAGCCAATCACCTTCTCTGCAGACCGGATGACACACTGCAGTCTGCTCTTGTCCTTAGCGGTGGGACCAGCGTACCAGATGGTGATGGAAGAAGTAAGGATGGACTCAATGATGGAGGAGCAGAACTGCACTGCATCATTGTCCTGGGAAGGTTGAATTTCTTCAGCTGCCGCAGGAAGTATGCAGGAAACCTACAATGCAGCAATTGAGTTAATCTTTCCCGCTATCATCGCAGACCCAGCCCCTGTACAGAGAGAGGAGGTCCTCTCTTTCAGCCAGGCCAACAATTCCCTCTAACGACCCCCCTTTCAGAGACATAGACAGGTATGGGGCATTGCAGGCTAACAAAAGAGGCCAAATGACCCCCATTCCAAAGGGGGGGACCTGTTCGTCTTTCAATTTGCATGTTTTCTAAACTTAAACAAGGCTTTGTTGGGCTCCTGTATAAAACTTGGAACTCAACACTATTTCTGACATTTTGAATTGAAAAAGCTTCCTGGATGGGAAGAGAAACGTCTTAAAACTTTGAAACAAAGTCCAGTAGATTGTTTTTAACTTTCTTTGGAATCACTATGACCTGGATGACGGAGAATCTTCACCGACATGAAACATTTTTAAAATCTTTTTTTTTTTTACCTGAACTCATGAAACCAATATTAACCGTTGATATCCTCCATCTGGTCTGTCCCCGTTTGGCTGTGTCTCCATCCTGGACAGAAATATCCGCTGCGCTGCTGCCATCAACGCTTTCGATTACAGATGATAGAATTGAATCTCTTTTTTAAGTGTTTGGTCCAATTTCTCTCTTAGACATAACTATGGGCTCAGATTTTACTGTCGGTACCAGTATTTTCTAACAGTGAAAATATTCATGGATCATTGTTTCTAGGTTCCCTTTATGCGTCTAATACCCCATTTACACTACCCTTTAAAACCGTGCCGAGACCGGTCCGAGCTCAGTAACTGAGATAACTTATCGTGTGTAAATGGAAAGCAAACTGAACTGAACCGAGCTAGACACAACCGAACCGAGCTAACTGCAGACCAGTTCCAGAGGTGGGCTCAGCTCGGTTTTTCCCTGGCTCGGTTCTCTGATAACAAGAGCGCATGAGCAGAACGCGTCATCTCCGTCTGGCTGCACATCCCGATTCACACTCCATTCCTGTAGGTGGCGGTAATGCCCCTCTGGAAGTTGTTTGTCAACCAACAAAAAACAGAAGAAGAACAACAACTTCTTCTTCAACTATAAACAGAAATCGAAATATTCTCCACGCAACATTTTGATTTGCTTGATTCCCTCCTCCTTCTTCTTCTTCTTGTGTTTTATGGCGGTTGGCAAACAACTTTTGGTGCATTACCGCCACCAACTGCTTGATTTCCTCCTTCAATACTGGCAGTAATACCGCAGATCGTCACTAGGAGGCGAGGAGTCGAGGAGCCGAGATAGCGTGATGTGTAAACGGTCGTCAGAACCGAGCTCGGCCTGGTCAACTGATCCGAGCTCGGACCGGTCTCGGCATGGATCGGTTTTTCAAGGGTAGTGGTATATTTCTGTCTCCTTGAACCCCAGTCAGCCTCGGCAGATGGCCGCTCACACTAAACCTATCAGACTAAGTGGTTGGGAGGCAGAACAGTTTAGGATCAGGTAACTAAGAACTCCAAGGTACTCTAAAAACACTCTCACCCCTGGCTAGGGAGAACAAGAATAATCTGGGGTGATGACTGGGTGGATCAGATGAGAGGTAATGAGCAACCAGGCAGATTTAGACAGGTGAATGAAATGAGGGATTAAGCCAGTCATTAGTGCCGAGATCATGACATCCTTCTCTCTTGTACAAACTAGTTTCCAAAGATTAAACTATATAATTAACAGTTTAGGCTGACTTGTACTTTTTCTGATCTCTAACTACAAATAAAACCTTCTCTCTGATGTACCTAAATCAGAAATGATCCTTCAGTTAAACATAATATTAATACAGTGGTTCCTTTGCTTGGCTTCAACATGGGGTGTAAACCCAGCTCCAGCACAATGATCCACCGCCGTCGTGCAGGGATAAGAGGCACAAATAGATGGTTTAGTTCAGGGGTGTCAAACTGGTTCCAGAAAGGGCTGTGTGGCTGCAGGTTTTCTTTCCTACCAAGCAATAGCACACCAGATTCCATTCATCTCATCAAGGGAGTCCAATCTGAACATGATGACTTGATGAGATGACTGGAGTCTGGTGTGCTATTGCTTGGTAGGAAAGAAAACCTGCAGCCACACGGCCCTTTCTGGAACCGGTTTGACATCCCTGGTTTAGTTGGTGACCAACTAAACCAGGGATGTCAAACCAAATCAATTAGAAAAACAAAGCCCACAGAATAGACCAACTGTTGGTCTATTCTGTGAGTTACGGTTTTTCTAATTGATTCGTGTTTTTTTTTTTACTGATGATCACTATTACACAGTCATTTTGGTTTCATTAAATACATTTGTAAAATCCAGAAGTTGTTTTAGTTGCCTAAATAAATACAATCTTAAGATCATAATAATTTTATTATGTTCCTGGAATTTTAACAAAGCCCTTGTCGTACCCTGTAACTACGTTTAGCAGAAAAAACATCTTTTTAAACATATTGTAGCTGCCATCAGAGTCAACTCATTTAAATATTTTTAATATTTAGTTAAAAACAAGACATACTAGTATTGAAATTAAAGGTTAAATCATAAATAAATAACTTTTATTTAATTTATGTTTATGTACGTTGGTTAAAAAGCTCATTAAAATGTAAGGAGGAACCTATGTTTTTTTTTGTTCCGCATGTCAGGTTCTTGTCCATGGGAAAGATTGATTGACACAATTCGTTTGGTTTTTTTTGCGCCTGTTTTTTCAAGAAGTTTCACCAGAAAGCTTTAAGACTGGTTTTCTGAGAAAAGCTGTATAAGTTATCTTTATTCCTCTGGAGTTTATGCGGCCAATGAGGTACGACTTTGTTTTACTTGGATTTATTTGTGTAAACCTTTATATTTTTTTTTTAGCTAATTTGGGTTTCTGTTTCCCTTCTTAGTTCTGACGGCATTTTTTGGGGCTTTTTAAGACGTGTCCACAATAAATGGCTGTTAAAACCAAAAGAATGACGTTAAGCCTTGATTATCTCTAGAGGACTAACGCATATAATTGGAAAAAAATATCCATAATTGAACTGGAGAGCACCTTCAGTGACTGACTGCTGCACCCTAAATGCACCAGGGAGCGTTATCACAGATCCTTCCTCCCAGCAGCTGGAAGACTCTAGAACCACCACTGTTCCCAACAACCTCAATAGGTTGTTACATTCATGCTGATTTTTGTAGTTTCTTTCTGGGGCTAATAACACGCTGATGTATTTTTATTTTTTTTTGCACATCTGTGATGTTGCTGCTATTTTTCATATATCCATTACTACAAGTATGTCCACAGCTGTTTACTGTTTATTTACTCTGAAGATATAGAGTATTTATATGATAAAAAACACTACAGTACTTTATGTGTTTATCTTTTATCTGTTATTTTTATGCAGTTTTCTATGGTCCACATTGTGTGACCACTTCTGCTATAACCTTTAGCTGCTGTAACACCACCATTTCCCCATTGTGGGACAATAAAGGGATTTTCTATTCTATTCTATTCCCTTCCTAAGTATTTTCTCTTTCTCAGAAATAATTTTGTTGCAGTTTAAAATCCAACTGTTATATGAGTGTGTGAGTTTTTTTAACTCATATTTTTGTAGATAATATTATGATTTTAATGATACTTTGAGTTGTACTTTTGCAACAGGTTCCATATAAAAACAATGTGGACTTTTGTTTTGTAATCAGGAAGCCAGGTGTGTCGGTTGTTGACGCAGCAGTTCCGGCTCCTTCCCCGGATCCTGCATCAGCCTCTGTTTGCCCTGCTGGTCTGATGTGGAGGTGAGAAGTCTCATCAATAACAGATGAGTTATCTTCAGGAAGTTCAGGATGAAAAAGTTCTTTAGTATCAGATTAAAATATAGCTCATAAAAATTACTTAGGATATGAGGAGGTAAGTATTAAATTGATCA